ACTACTAATGATCCTCCTACCAAAAATACATGATACACCAAATAATACATTAACAATCTAATATGGTATAAGAGCAATTGCTCGATCTAATATGGTATGGTGTTCGAGCATATCTAATCTAATATGGCATGCTAACCGAGCTCTAACTCACTGGTAAGAAACGTGGTGGAATATCACTTGTACATTGATATATAAAGTGAATCTACTTTATAAGTCTACTGAGTTATTCTTTCATTTTCGATTGGTTTTACGATGAAATTTCATTAAGATGACTGATATGTTTGTCCTTGGTTTTAGAAAGAAACTTCACTAAATTGACAACTACTGACTAAGACAGCAACTAAGCTTGTACTCTTAACGTTAGTTTTAACTTTTAAGATGAAATCTCACTAAGATGACAACTACGCTCACCTTCTTAACGTGCACTTCACTTCAATCAGACCGTACTTTAATCTAATCTATATCTATCTATACTACTCTAAAAGGCGAGTATTTTTGTAAAAATATTAACTACCTAAATGATCCTTACTTTGTCATATTTTTTAATGGCAAATTTGTAATATAACTAACTTTTCGTCGGAGTTTGTAACCGTTAGATCAACTATCCCTCACGGTTACAAACCCCAATGGAATGATTCCGTAACGGGACCGTAGTATTTTGCAAAATAATTAAGGGACTGCCCCTAATTTCAGGCAGAACTTTTGTGCCAACCTCTAAGATATGGTTTGTGTGTGGGAAAGTGCCATCTTTTTTTCTGCTTTTCCCATGTCATCATGCCCAAGTCAACTTTGTGTAAACAAGCTCTAGCAATTAAGCAACAAAGATACAAGAAGTGGGCCAAAGGATAACCATAGCTTTACAAAAAAAATTTGAAGGAAAAGCAAAAGCATAAGCAAAATTTCAAAAGTCATTCATACCATTATGTCCCATAATATGCAAAAAGATCATTTCTCATGATTGCAACAAACAACAATACCTTTAAACACCAAAAAAAAAGGCCTTCTCCACACTTATCTTAACAACTAAGCTAGTAAGCTTCACCCCTTACACTACCATTCGATTTGCAGTAACCAAAAGAAAGAAAGAAAAAAAAGAAAAAATGCATTCTTCACCTGGTCAGAAGCAAACAGCCAAACTCTGGCTCCGAGGTTGTTGTCCGAACCCTGTCTCCAAACCACCGCCGGAACACGAAAACGATCATCCCGGCCGGAATCTCACGAGCACTTCCGCCGCCGCCTGCCGCCGCGAATTCGCCGCCTCGACCACTTCCTCTCTATTCCCGAACACACACTTCACGAACCACGAGTCCATCCCCACACTCCAAGAATCGTTTGTCGAGTTCATCAAAACCTACCCGAAATACTCCGACACTGCCCCCATCGACCGTATACGAGCGCGCGAATATTCCCACCTTTCCCTCTCGGACCACGTTTGCCTCGACTACATCGGAATCGGCCTCTTCTCTCAATCCCAAGTCAAATCCCAATACGCCTCGATCATACCAAAACAGAAACGGGCCTCACAGCCCGATTATGCATTGTTTGGCGTGAATTTCAAGCCCGTGAGTTTAAAGTCACAGCTGCTTCATTGTCACGGACGAGACGGGTACGAGCTCGAGTTAGCGATCGAGAAACGAGTAGCCGACTTTCTGAACCTGTCCCGGGACGAGTACAGCATGGTTTTCACGGCTAATAAATCGGCTGCCTATCGGCTCGTGGCCGAGTCGTACCCTTTCCAGACGAACCGGAAATTGCTGACTGTTTACGATCACGAGAGCGAGGCCGTGAATGCATTGACGAATGTTTCGGAAAGGAGAGGGGCCCGCGTGATGTCGGCCGAGTTCAAGTGGCCGAGGCTGAGAATAAACTCGGCAGGACTGAAGAAGATGCTCGTTCGGAATAAGTACGGCAAGAAAGAAAAAAAACGCGGGCTTTTCGTGTTCCCCCTTCAGTCGGTTCTGAGCGGGGCGAGCTACTCGTACCAGTGGATGAAAAAGGCTCGGGAGCACGGCTGGCACGTCCTGCTCGACGCCTGCTCGTTGGGCCCGAAAGACATGGACAGCTTCGGGCTCTCGCTCTTCCGGCCCGATTTCCTCGTCTGCTCGTTCTACAGAGTGTTTGGGGAGAACCCAACCGGGTTCGGATGCCTCTTCGTGAAGAAATCGATCGTCCCGATTCTTCTCGAATCCTCCTCCGCCTGCGGAGGAATCGTGTCCATCACGCCCCCGAGGAATATTCTTTTTCTTCCGGACGATTCCTCCTCGTCAGGCGCCGGCACGGAAATCGAGATAAATCGAGAGGATATCGAATGCCGGTGCTTGGATCATGTGGACTCGTTGGGGCTGATGCTTGTTGGCTGCAGGGGAAGGTACTTGATCAACTGGCTGGTGAGTGCACTGATGAAGCTTCAGCACCCGAACAGGCTCGAGAATTTCCCGCTGGTCGCGATTTACGGGCCCAAGGTGAAGTTCGACCGGGGGCCAGCGCTGGCGTTCAACATCTACGACTGGAAAGGGGAGAAAGTCGAGCCGGTTCTTGTGCAGAAGCTGGCCGACAGGAGTAATATTTCGGTGGGGCACGGAGTAATGAGCCACATTTGGTTCGGGGAGAAGTCTGAAGAGGCGAAGAGGGTGGTATTGGAGAGGTGTGGGGAAGGTGACAGTGAAAATGGCAGCGGCAGAAGTGGGAAGGGTGGTGTGGGGATCAAAGTGGTGAGTGTGGCACTGAGTTTCTTGGCGAATTTTGAGGATGTGTACAGGCTGTGGGCTTTCGTGGCCCGGTTTCTGGATGCGGATTTTGTGGAGAAGGAGAGGTGGAGGTACACGGCCCTGAATGAGAAGACCATTGAAGTGTGAGCTTGGGTTTCAAATTTTGGCCATAGCCTTGAGCTGTTTTTTTTTTTTTT